CCACACACACACACACACTCACCTTTCTATGCTCTGAAAAAAAAGCACACGCAATTACGATATTATTAATCAGCGTCAAAATTATTCGTTTTTTTAAGAAAGAAGAGAAGACGATCAACAGTCCCCCCATTACACCCTCCACGCCTTTAGGGGGTTTAATAAACGATAGCAGATGGCGCAATAGACGGATTATTTGCAACATAAGGGGAAAAAAAGCTGGCAATGACGTATGATGAGGCTGAATACCCCAAACCAAACACATGAAATGGATCTCTAGTTCTTACTGAACTGACAAAATAACAACGTGCGCTGGTGAGCGGGTATATATACGGTATTATACAATATGTCTTTTAAAAAAGTACCTTTAAAAGAATTTAAGTCGTCATCTTTGTGACCAATTTTAACAAAACTTGGAAGAATGAAAGTCTACCAAGGAGACACTAAATTGTCAATATAACGAAAATCAATAGAAGCGTTCGAAAAAAATCAAGTTTTAAAAAGGTCAACCCCAAATGAGTGATACGCAAAACTGTTTCTTAGAAGTGTTTAACTACAGCGGCGTGGCCAGCCCATTCTGGTTTCAGGACAAGACAGATGCAACCACGACAATCAAATGTAAATCTCATAGTGCTGAGAAAGTTTTGGAGACTTTTTTTTATGTAAATTTGTTCATCAGTTCACGAGTACACATTATAGTTTAATTCTAAGTTGCAAAGTTTTGCGTTTCATTCAAATTTGAGTGACATCTCAAAAACAGGATATGTTTCGAACACGTAAATTGATGTTCTTCATATTCACAAACGCAACGTCCTCTTGGTTGAACTTTAGCTATTTCAAGTTCAGTTGAAGTTAATCAAAAAATGACTGAGTAATTCCATTCAACATGGGCCCTCTAGTTTTAGATACCCAGTATTTAACAGATCCAGTACTAGGCTTATCTATACGCTATTGTCGAGCAAGGCACATTTCAAACGCGTAAATAATAAATTGTGTTTTTGGGTGTGTTTTTTTTTTCTTTTCTATTCTTGCCCGTCTGATCAGTCCCAATCTCGCAACTGCAGATCCTTTATGCTCTACCAGATATCTAGCAAATCTAATAACAATTTCCGGACGCATATTCGCAGGCTTTGGTCTGCAGTGGTCGTACTGACCTACCAAAAGACGTGATGAGGAGAACGAAGTGCAGCTATGTGCTGTATGCTGGGATGCAAAACGGGCTACATAAATTCGAAGCCACAACGTTATATCATTATTATTCAGCCCAGATTGTTTTGGCATGTTTATGACACCCCATTCCGTTAAACCAGTCCCAGGAGGTTGAGATTGTTTGAGAATGCTATCAGTTAGTTCTGCTGGGGTAAGTAGTGATACCATACTCGCAGATTGAAAAGCGCATATAACTTGCTGTTGAGCAGGAATTTGGGCTATACAAATGCTATACATGTATTACAATATATTATTACAGTTCAATTCGAGATAGACAATAGCCTGTCAACCCATTTTACATTGCTGAAAAGAATTTCTGAACCCATACCATACTTTCCGCAGCCATCATTGTCTTCCAATCGATCAGAAACAATAGCATTTAATTGTTTTAATGAAGCAGGTGAATTTAATTAACATTTTTGGTTTCAACTATCGATTTGGGGAGAACAGCATACCTTACAAAAGAGCGCCAGTGGGCCGGAAAATGGACGAGGTGTGATCTGCATCTAATAATAGACCCCAAGTAGGTCAACCTGCTTTCTATTCCTTTGTACGTAAGGTTTGCGTCGTCATGCATAATTTGTTTTAAAAAAAAAAATTTGTCCGGAAATTAGGCTCGGGTTTTGTGTGTGTTTATGAGTGTGTGTGTGTGTGTGTGTGTGTGT